CTAGTCTGTGCTTAGAGTGTCTGAAGCATGTCAGGAGGAGCACATCGCGGTTTTTGTCATAATCCCAAGTGTCCCACGATGAAAAGATTGCGTAGTTCACGCAAACGTCACCAAGTTTCGGAGGTACGCCCATCGTACACCCTTACTGGTTACCGCTTGTGCCGACTAACTGAAGAAACAGAGGTAGTCGGTAGTTTTCTAAACAAACATATTAGCGAGTTCAGAAGTCCAGTTTGGCGAATATACGTTTGCTTTCGACAAATTCTCGTGAGGCCTTATATTTATATGGAAATTTAAGCAAATTTAAGCCTGGCCGTCTTTTCGGACAATTAAACGAGAACTATGTTTTCTTATCATGTGAGTATTCCGCAATGTCCTTTCGGTAACTGGCAGTTTATGTTTGGTGAAGTATTAGCTATTAGGTATATCTTAATCTTAAACTTGTCCGCAGATAGGACTTACTTAATCTTACACTTGTCCACAGATGGCGACATGACAATGTCCGCAGGCAGGGCATTCCATGCCTGAATTCGTAAGAGCTTTACATACCCGCGTAGCCTAGGACCACAACGTTTGGTGGATGCGACTTTTGTCAGTATTAGTGTTCCTTAACAAGCAGATTACTAAACCATAGTGAGAAGTATGTTTTAATAACATGCAAGTCTCACTATTGATAATTTCGGAGGACGTTGTGGGTATGCAGGTCTAATTTTATCTGCAATGTGTCCACAGATGGGGACATGACAATATCCGCGGGGAGAGCATTCCAAACGTCAACTACTCTATTAACAAAGAAGAACTTGCGTGCATCTAGTCGGGCCCCTGTTACGTGTAGGTTGAAGAGATGCCCTCTTTAATTCGTGGTTGTTGCTAACTAAAAGATGTCACTAGATAGAAGAAAGCTGTCCCGACCGCGCATTATACAAAATGCTGGTATCAGATGGCCACGTAGCTGTCTCTTACTCAACGGAAATACCTCAAGATTAGCTAAACGTATTTCGTAGCGTCATAAGATCTGCCCGGTCACCAGTTTGGTCGCGCGCCTTCGGACCTTCTTGAAGGAATTTAGGTATTTTGCTGTCCAGAGTTTCTATGCTCGTATAGCGAACTGCAACTTCGGCCAAGCACATGTTCCATGCACCTTAGCAAAACAGTCTTCGTCAAAGGCGCATAAGGCCCTATTTTGACAAGATACAGGACAGGTATCGCAAACTTGGCTACTTTTGAGCAATGCAGCGACGGCTTCAGGGGCGTAAAGATCCACACTCCCAGACGTAGAGTCAATTGAAACGGCCGCATTTGTAAGTCAAAGGGATTGTAGGACTCATAACCACCTGCTTGTGACATTACCACATGAACTATAATGTTGTCTTACTTAAGCTTAGTTTCTATATTTTTTCATATAAGTTAGGCTGTTTTGGTAGATTTCCTTAATGCAATTGACCCAATTGTAAAGAAATTGCGGTCTTGGTGGGAGTCTAACCCACACGCCAGGATAATCATTTGCACAGCCAACGCTCTACAATTTATCTACCAGGCTCACCAAATGCCACGAATTTACTCACACTTGCATCGATTTGAGCCATCTAACGTACCGCTCAGATGGTATCCATCATAACGGAGCAGCAAGCTGACTGCCCAGACAGGCGCAATGGAGCTCCTTATGCTGATAGCTGTACATTGACTTCAATTAGAGTAGGCTTATGCAGGTTTGATCCTAGTGAAAATACGTTCTGTGAGAGACAGAGGCAATCGCTCTGACAACACACTCAGTCACTCACTCAGTCAGCAGGCAAGCAACGAGCCACGCCCACGGCTAGCTATCTATTGCCTACGGGCGTTGAAAGCATACAGGCAGTCAATTATTTAAAATGCAAATAGCAGTCAGCCGTCGGGTAACGGGCCAATCGTGTCTGTACCCACGCCAGGACAGAACCTGATTGGCCCGAGGTTTATAGCTTTGCACGCGTTTGTTGACCTACATTTGCTGTACCAATTACGCGCAAAAGCTTTTTGCTTTTGCCTTCTTCCTGTTCTTTCTTGGGGGTTCACGGAAGATGTGCTTAGGTGATTACATATCGGTGTTAGTTACCGTCATGATAATTGGTGACGCAGATTCTGAATTGGTTTTGTCCATAGACACAGAAAGCTGTCAAAAGTTGTGTCAAGTTGTGTGCCAAAAAATTGAGTAATAAAATTTTGAAGTTGTTCTTTGCATCAATCCTAAGTAAATTTATATTTCATATTTGAGAGGTTCAGGCAAGGAATGCGTTTGAGAACTTTATTAGTTTATGGCAACCAAATTAATTTTACAATCGATATTAAGTTGGAGACAGTTAACATAACAAAAATTTGATTAAGTTGTGACGGGACATTGCGACACAGTTTTTTTCAAAAATCGCCGTTGGTGTTATTGCCACTCTGCTTTCTATTTGCTATTGTTGAACTTAGTCTAGAAGTAACAAAGTATGCTTAAAACTGTTCCCTTTTAGATAAAGCATTAAGCTCTTTCCTTTATAACAGAAGAGATATCCCGTATTGATTGGGAAATCAATCCATTGGCCAAAGTTTCACATTCTGACCTTGAGTTTATCATCAAAAAGAAATTAAAGTACGCAGACCTCAGACGCCAAAATATATAAGTAAAGCTTTTTTTCAAGAGTTAATTTTTGCATAATTTTTCTAAATTAATCTTAAGTATATTCATTCGAGATATTTGTAGTGGACGTTCATTTTTCTTCGCAATGAAATCACGTGATTGGGTGGTTCTGAAACTATGACACACAAAGACAGCTGCAAAAGAAAAAAAAATTAGAAGCTGTTTATTTACGTAAAAGCTTTCAAGATATATCTTATTTTGAAGGTTTTTGTAAGCACATAGAATTTAATCATTAGTTTTGGTCAAGTGACTGAAGCAAGTGAAAATCGTAAAGTCTTAAATATAATTTCAAAGATGATCTGAACATCTTCGTAATAGAAATATCAAAAAATAACAAATAAATATGGCGGAAGGCAATTACTCTTAGTGTACAAAAAATGGTACGTTTCCAATTGTACCCGATAATTATATTTGAATTTATTAGTCACTGGCCGGCATGTCCGGAAGTGAGCTTAAGAAATATATAACTCCTGTGATCTCCCAATGGGGAATATCAAGCGTGAACGTGGTTGTCTTAGTCAGACATAAGTCAAGCGATGCACAAACGAAAAAATCAACTAGCAGATCTCGTGAAAACTTGTTAGAATACAAACTCGAAATTTAGGCCCTTTTGTAACAGCCATACATTATATTGCACGTAATATGGAAGCAAATTAATTCGAAAACTTGACAAAACGATTATGTCCCAACGTAATTTTACTTTTGCTGCTTTATTTACCCAGTGTTTTTGCATAAACGGGCCTTCTCTACATGTAAAACTTAAGTTTACCTAGTG